TAAATACTGCTCAGTTTACCTTTCTTCGCTCGTCATCGGAGTCAGCCATGAACGAAACAACCCACCAGGTTTACAACTTACATGACGTACTTAGTGTTATCTTGCCTCATTCCCAGGTTCTAACGATCAGCGACGGTCCAGACCCTCGACTGCGCGCGGACAAAGTGCACTCGGCTACAGAAACCGGTATAAACTCCGGCTTTATGAAGTACTTGGTCCGCCTCAGATTTTTTTCATGTGTTTACTTCGGTAGTTCGCTGAACTCTACAATAACTAACACAAAAAGTTCCTTCTCCCCAAGTGCTGAAATGGCTTAACCAGGCCAGAAACCAGGTTCCTGGTGTGGCAGAAGGCTGGCCGGATGAAAGTAAAAGGAGGCGGGAAGCGGTGGGATGAGGTCGAAAAATACTTTGGCGGGGGCGGGATTTAGAAATTATTACTCGTTCTTTTATCCACTGCCTCATTAGATTACTGGTGGCGAGGAAACTTCGCTTGGTGGCGAGGTGACTTCCCTTGGTGGAGAGTTCGTTGGTGGCGAGATGACCGGTAACCGTTGGACNGCCTCATTAGATTACTGGTGGCGAGGAAACTTCGCTTGGTGGCGAGGTGACTTCCCTTGGTGGAGAGTTCGTTGGTGGCGAGATGACCGGTAACCGTTGGACTTTGTTGCTATGCGCTCGCGAACAAGCGAACAATCATCTAAGCTTATCAAACATAGACTGACATGGTTCTTCGAAAACGTTTAGTAACTCGATAACAACTACGTAAACACGAACACTAAAAGTTGGGGACGAACTCGAAATAGAAATTTTATAGTGGGGGCGAACTCGGTGAGGGCAAACTCGCCATGGGGCGAAACCAGTATCATTCCTTATTTCGACAGGCGGTATGCGGGATAGTTTTAAAAGTAAAAGCAGGAAACGGGATGAAAGAAAAAAAATGAAAATTGCACGTTAAGGACGTATCGCGGACAACTGCAACTCTGATGAGGCGGGATGGGGATATACATTTTGAGTGGAGCGGGATGGCAGGATTGAAAACAGTCATAGGTAGGGTGAGAGGCATGCTAATGTACATCCCCTGGGTCTCCATGCTGGGAGTTGTATGGGGTTA